TACATTAATTGATTTGGGGATAGAAGCAGCTAATTAATTAAATTGGGATTTTAAAAATATTTGCTGATCTTCCATTAATATTTTTGGTCAAATATTTTTCCGACTCTTATTATTTTAATTATCTTATAAAGTTTAGCATATTTTGCAATATTATGTTTCGTGTAGTTTTAATGATAATTTTTTGTGTTGGTTAGAAACCTGGATCCCATGAATTGCTATGATTTCTTTGCTTTTTAGGAACAAAAGCCCATATAGCATTTCATTTGTGTTTAAGGTGAAAATACTTGACATGATTTGAAAACTCTGAAATACTGTTGCTACTTAGGCAAGAAATGAATCCTGCATTCCATTTGAAAGAAAAAATGAGAATCCCATCTCCCCAGTGACATCCAATGCCTTCTTCCAACTTTGCTGATTGCTGTAATCTACTCAGAGCTGTTACATTGGGTCCAGACTGGTAGGATTTCCAGCTTAGAATTTTTACACTCTCCTACCCCAGTTATAATGCTGTTATTAAGAAAAAAGGGTGTATAAAACAAAGGGAATCCATTCAATCATTTACAGTCTGAGATCAGTATCTTATCCAAAGAATTTGCAAAAATTAGGAAAAATAGCAAAATTGGAGGAGATTATAAAACATTAAACTTGTATTTACTAATTCTCTAGTATAATTGATAGCTATTATGGTAAAACCATTTCACTAATAAAATTGACATTTGAAAATAATTTTGCTCTTAAGACATCAGTAAAATAGGCTTCCTGCTTTCTTAACTTTGTTAATGAGTTTTGTTTTGTTTTTGTTTTTGTTTTTTTCTGGCATGAGCTTCTAAATTAGTCTATCCAGTCTATGCTTGTTAAAGTACCAGTCATTTGTGGATTGACTTTTACAGTAAATGTAAAATTGTGTAGGAAAGTGAATGACATTGCTAGTGCATGAAGACAAGCTGCCAGAGAGTTTTGGTTGTATATTACACAGCGTGACTGGTTCCTATCTAAAAGTTAGTGTACTGTGTTTGGAGCTTTATTTAAAAGTGAATCACTAATTTCACTTATCTTAAAATATTTTAATAGTGCAGACTAATAATCATGGATTTTATGGGGATTTTGAAGCTTTGTGTCAAGACCATATTTTTGACAATATCAGAAGCTTTTAATAAGGTGCTTGCTGCTGAGCTAATGATATGCTTTTGGTAGTATTTCTTATACCTATCTTCAATAGACATATTCAGGCTAGTGTGAATGTAATAATCAAGCCTCAATCAAACCATACTTAGTATGACAAATATTGCATTATACTGTAATTTAGGTATTCATGCTTCTGATAAAGGGCTTAATTTGACTCCTTGAGGAACTGGGAAAACACTATTGATTTTATACTGGAATGTAAAGTAGCAGTCATTTATAGTACAAGATATAAATCACTTCTTAATTAAAATTAAATCAAGAGAAATTAAGAATCTCATGGCCTTATATGTAATGGTACACAATCTTAAGTGTAAAATTATATTTTGTATCAATTGTGTTCCTGTGCATGGATTTCTGGGCACAAAAAATTTTTGCAGTTAATCTTAATAGAAGCAGATGATATTGACTTCTTAATTTTTTTCTGTAGGAACATTGCAGTGGGTTAAACTACTTATTCAAAGTATAATTGATTTATTTTTGTTTTCCCTTTTAAGAAAATGTCAAGGAAATTTTTGGACAGACTATTATTCATCATCATATCCCTTTTAACTGGGACTGTGAGTTTATCCGACTGCATTTTGGGCATAATCGGAAGAAGCATCTTAACTACACAGAGTTCACACAGTTTCTGCAGGTGAGCTTAGCTTTCACAGTTGTTATAAGTATATACTATTCACCTCCTTCCCTTTTTTAAAAATTGTTTAGTACAAAAGCAGACATTTCCATTTCACCCTATTTTTCATTTCCCTCTCATCAGAGACAACTTATTTTAAATCTTAAATCTGTGTTTTTTTTTTAAAAGTGTATCCTAGGTGGCTCCATTTAATCATATAGTAAACTTGTATTGGAACTTCCGTAATTTCTTACTTTATTTGTTTTGTTTTTGGTATCGGGGATTGAACTCAGGAGGACTCAACCACTGAGCCACATCCCCAGCCCTGTTTTGTATTTTTTTTAGAGACAGAGTCTCACTGGGTTGCTTAGTGCCTCACTTTTGCTGAGGCTGACTTTGAACTTGAGATCCTCCTGTGTCAGCTTCCCAAGCCACTGGGATTACAGTTTGCGCCACCATGTCCATCTTAATTTTCCACTTTTGAGTATATTTTATTGATTCTAACTATGGAAAATTATACTGAAACAGGGTTGCACTAAGTTTCTTAAGATTTCACCAAGTTGCTGAGGTTGCCCTAGAACTTGTGATCCTCTTGCCTCAGCCTCCCAGGTTCTTGGGATTACAAGTGTGTGCTGTCACCTCTGGCTGTATAAGGTTTTACAAGTAGTCTAGAAATGATTTAAAGTATATGGGAGCTGGGGTTGTAGTTCAGTGGTAGAGCCCTTGTCTACCATGTGTGAGGCACTTGGTTTGATCATTAGCACCACATAAAAATAAGTTAAAAAAAAAAGTATTGCGTCCATCTACAACTTCAACATTTTTTTTTTAAAGTATATGGGAGGATGTATGTTGGTTGTATGCAAATAATGTGTCATTTATATAAGGAACTTGAGCATTCTTAGATTTGGGTATCCACTGGGGATGGGATCAGGTCCTGGAACCAGTACCCTACAGGTACTATATCTGACTTAAATTATTTGAGTTTCTAGTATGTATTTGTTTAGTTTTCAATATATTAATGTAATATTTTCTCACACTTTGCCCAAATTATTCATGTTTTAATATATGTAAAACATATTAGGTAGTTCTATCAATTTAATCTTGTCGAAGGCCTTCAGAAGCTTGCTTTCTTTCTTTTTTAAATATTTATTCTTAAGTTTTAGGTGCACACAATATCTTTATTTTACATTTATGTGGTGCTGAGGGTCAAACCTGGTGCCTCATGCATGCTAGGCAAGAACTCTACCACCGAGCCACAACCCCAGCCTTTCTTTCTTTTTTAAAAAATAGAATGCTGGGGGATGTGGCTCACTTTGCCTAGCATACACACAAGGCCTTGAATTTAACCCCCATTATTGCAAAAAAAAAAAAAAAAAGTCATATAATATAAAATTAGCCCTTTGCCCCTGTTTAAAATTTTTTTAAAAAGTGTGTGATTTAGTGGCTTTAAGTAATATTCAGTGTTTTGCGACCATTACCTTGCTACCTCTATATAGTTCCAAAACATTTTCATTACTCCAAAAGAAACTGCAAAATTCATTTAGCATTCACTTCCTATTCTTGCTTTTCTTTCAACTTCTGGCAACCACCAATCTACTTTTTATTTCTATGGACATACCTGTTTCTGGATATTTCATATAAATGGAATCATGAAACATGATATTTTGAGTCTTTTTTTCACTTACCTTAATATTTTCAAGGATTATCCATTTATAATATCTTTCTGTACTTCCCCTTTTTTAGCAGAATAATATTTCATTTTATGAATGTATGATTTTTTTTTCTGTCTGTTCATCAGTTGATGGACATTTGGATTGTTTCCACCTTGTGACTGTTGTGAACAGTACTCTTGTATATATTCATACAAATATTTGTTCAAATATCTACCAAGGAGTGTAATTGCTGGGTTGTATGATAATTCTATTTAACTTTTTTGTTTTTGTAGTGTTGGGTATCAAACCTGGGGCCTTGTGTGTGCTAGCAAGTGCTCTATCACTGGGCTACTTCTCCAGCCCCTAAAACTTTCTGAAGAACCACCAATTGTTTTCCACAGCAGCTGTACAATTTTTCTGGTGTTTTCTGATCTACTTCATCGTCAGAAGCTGGATTTTGGAACTTTCAGCATAGCTGTTAATCTGTAATCTCCCTTTACCTTCATCCTGGATAATCCATTTGCCTTTCTATTATGTTGAATCTTCTGTTTGCTAGAGATTTTCCTTATCATGGTTTACTTATTTTTGGTGGAATACTTATTTATCAGCTTTCTGAGGAAAGTAAAATAGAACAATTTTAGATAATTTTCATATCTGAAGACCTCTTGCCTCGTCATTAAACTTAAATAGTATGGCTGGATATAGAATTTTAGTAGGAATTTATTTTTCTTATAATTTTTGAAAGCATTTGTTTTCTAATTTGTGATGATGCCACTGAGATGGGCAGTGCCATTCTTTGTTTGTTTGTGGTGCTGGGGCTTGAACCCAGGGCCTTACATATGTTAAGCAAGCGTTTCACCACTGAGCTATACCCCCAGCTCTTCCTATTTTATTTAGAGACAGGGTCTTGTGAAGTTGTTCATGTTTTCTTTTTCTGTTCTCTTTGTCCTTGGGTTTTATTTTGTTTTGTGCCTTTGCTGTGATTTTACTGGAGAATGGAGTTTAAAACATAGTGAAGTATACAAATATAGTCTAATCCAAAGTCATGCTATTTTTGACACTCTTGCTATTTTCAGTTTACCTCATAGTTAGATGAAATGTATTTTCAAGTACATAACATCTTCACCTTTAGAATAGCTTGTTTACTTTGTCCTTTTCTTCCATTCCCCTATCCATCCAACCATCCTTTCAACAAGAAGCAGGATTTATTTATCTTTTATAAACCTACTATGTTGGTTTTACTTCATTGTGGTGAACATAGATTTAACAACTATGCTGTTTAGGGCTGGGGTTGTTGCTCAATGGTAGAGCACTTGCTTAGCACGTGTGGGGCACTGGGTTTGATCTCAGCATTATATAAAAATGAATAAATAAAATAAAGTAAAAAAAACAAAACACTGTGCTGTTTTGTGGGTATTTGTAAAACCCAGTGCTTGTTCTCATCTTGTAAAATACTCAAACTTGAAAGGCTAAAAAGGTTTACACATCTGAAAACTGATTTTTTTTTAAAAAAGGAAATGTCTTCCCAACTAACATTTTTTTTTTTTTTGGTTCCTCCAAAGATGACTTTCTCTCATTATTTTTCCCTTTGTTTATGGAAGATATCTAATAATATTATACCCCTGTATTTAATTATAGTATGTGAACTGAGAGATTTATATATGGAGCTCCTTTTTATTGTTTATTTAGTTTCTCATTTGAAGTTCTTAATTTTAATTTTTTAATATTTTTCAATTTTGGAAGACTTCAAATATATTTAAATGTAGAGAGGATAGTGTAATGAATTCCTATATATTCATTATCTATCAGCTTTTGACCAGAATTGTTTTATCCATCTCCTCAGTCAGCCTCCTGTAATATCATTTGGAAGTCAGTCCTGCACATACTATAATTTCATCTGTGGTTCTTCAAATATGTATCTTGAAAAGATAGAGTCCTTCAACTGTTGACCTATAGAAAACACAAAATCTATTTTAACATTGTTCTTTCAGTGAACATTCTGTTTTATCTTTATAATAAATGTTCATATTTTCCTTAGTACCACTATTAAAGCTAAGTTATATTCATAGTTGCTACTGGATATCGCTGGGTGGTTAAGATATGCACATGGGGAAAATAAATATTATAACAAAGAAATAAAGAGAAACAAAGGAGAGAGGGAGGGAACATATATGTAAGACAGGGCGTGGATTTTTGTGTGCTCTGAGGCTACTAGGAATGTCTTTGCCATGGCAACCACTTTGAACCAATTTAATAAGACTAAAAATTCCTCTTATTTGAAGGGTGCAGATTGGAATAAGGTGATGGGAAGATGAAGCAAGTTAGGTAGAATGTTTAGAGTGAAAAAAGAAAATAAGAGAAATTTTGTCAAATATCTCTAGTTGTTTATTTTGTATTTTTTGTTCAATATAAGTATCTGCCAGTTGATCCCACTTATATTGCTCTTCCAAGCAAATCCACACATATCTTTTTATTTAGATATTTCTTCAGTATTACTATTTAACTTTTTTTTAAGAGAGAGAGAGAGAATTTTTTTGATATTTATTTTTTATTTTTTGGTGGACACAGCATCTTTATTTTATTTGTATGTGGTGCTGAGGATCGAACCCAGTGCCCCGCCCATGCCAGGCGAGCACGTTACCGCTTGAGCCACATCCCCAGCCTCTACCATTTAACTTTTTAAAGTCAAGACTGTTGAAAAACTTAGTAGGTTTAATGTACGTGTCTCTAGCTCATCACCCTACTAAGGAATTATTTTTTAAAATTTTTTTGTTAAATATCATACACAAACAGAAAACCACATAAAACAAATGTATGCCTTAATGGATTATAAAACAAATACCTGCTAAGGTACTTTTACTATCTTTGAATTACCAATGGGAGATCAAAAAATCCTTAGGAAAATATAGTTAACTAAAAAGAGTGAGACCTTTACCCAAAACTATTTTAAATGTCAGGAAAGATAAAGCAACATTGATTTGAAGGCTTTGATAAATAAGTAGCAATGAAAATTATATTGTCTTATCTTTGAACAATATTTATATATTTAGATATGACTATTAATTTCCAGAGTTGCAGAGAATATAAAAATGGCATCTATGGCACATTATTATGTTGTGCCAACAGGTCTATTTGGATTATATCATGAGTCCCCAGAGCAGAAATGCTCTGATTTTGACTTTTGTATAGAACCCAGGGGATTACTGGCATATTTTGTTGTTTTTATTGATATCACTTATTACAAAGTTTGACTGCATGGTAGTTCAAAAGTTCAGGGAGATTCTGGATTGTTTCATAGTTTGTGAGTAACTGTGCCCCAAACCCTATAGTGTGATAACTGAACACTGCTTATACAGTTTGTTATTCATAATTTTTGCTGTAGAGTTATGAAGTATTGCATTTACTGATTGGTATAGTTTTACACTGAGTTTATTTTTTAAAATGTTTGAATAAATGGTGTTAATTCAGAGAAAACATGTATAATTTTCATTGCAACATTTAAAATTGAAAAACTGAACAGAATGTAAACTCAATACAAGAAGTACTCTTGGATGACAAAGTCTTCAAGTAGGAGATAATAAATAAATTACTGTGTAGTTGAAAGGCTGAAATAAAGCACTGAAAACACTGTACTTACTTTGTTATTTCAGTGATGAAAACTTTGCAAGTATAATTTGAAGTTTCTTTTTTTCCTTTCTGTTATTGCCCAGCTCTGATTCATTCCTTTCCCTAAGGAGTAATATGTAGTATGTTTCCAAGGAAAAAGGTTTTTCTTAAATGAAATTTGAAAGTTTCATAGTAATTTCAGAGCTGTATATTGTTTCTGTAATAAGTGCATGTTTGCAGAAGAATGTTTGTCTTTCCTTTCTAAGACATGTACTTGGGATGTGCTTTAATCTATTTAATACCCTATTTTAAATGTTTTCCTCTAGGAGCTGCAGCTGGAACATGCAAGACAAGCCTTTGCACTGAAAGACAAAACCAAAAGTGGCATGATTTCTGGTCTGGATTTTAGTGATATCATGATTACCATTCGGTCTCACATGCTTACTCCTTTTGTGGAGGAAAACTTAGTTTCAGTAAGTAAAAAGCAAATACTTTAACTTTATATTTCCTAAAACATTTTGAACTATTGGGTCCCAAATTGCCTCCCTGTACTAATATGACTCAACTATTCAAACTTAATGCTGGGTTGGTAGAAGGTAAATAGGTAGGGGTGTGTGTGTGTGTGTGTGTGTTGGAGATAGAGGTGAAATGATGAGTGGTCTTTCCTCAGATTGTAGTTTTATTCAGAGCTATCATCTTGTTCTCACGTATTTCCAAATTATTTATTTCCATTTATGGAGTCTAGTTCAAGGGAAATGGGAGTTTGTAGACAAGGGTGAGTAGTTACTTCTTCCAGTGAGCATTACCTGTCCCAGACACTGCTGCCTTCTTCTTGACTTCTTTCCACCCTACCAGACTCCCAAGGTCTTGTTATAAGGATGGCTTCTTCCTTTGTCTGCTGAAAGGATCTCCATTGGCCTCTGCATTGTTTTAATAACCATTCCCATGGCAGAAGGTATGGAGGAAATATGTGGCCAGCAGCCTTTGTGGATCACTCCTCTCTGCCCCTTCACCTGTTCATTCAGTGTTGACACATTATGCACAATTTTTTGTTCTGTAGAATTGCAGATTATGTCATCTGGACCAATAGCTAACTCATGTAATCTACTTCCTCGCATAAAATGGTGAAACTTTCTTCTCTTACCCATTTTTTTGTTCATGTGTTGTACTTGCATATAAGTTTTTGATTACTGCTTGTTTTGGAAAGAGGGAAGCCAATGAATGCTTTTGTTGTTTCAGCTGAAGATCATTATCCTGGTTTAGACTGGGGTAGAAAGATCAACTTCTGTTCTTTTTCTTCAATGAATTTGAACATGGAGCATGTCAGTTTCTCCTACATATTTCACCTCCCTGACACCTATCCACACTCCCCTGCCTTTACCTCATACCCCAATTTAAAAAAAAAAAAAAATGAAAAAAGGGAGGAAAGAAAGAGGAGACAGGGAAGGAGAGAAGGAAAGATAATCTTAGAGGAAAGGGCTCACTCTATCTTAGGGTGGGGGGAGACCCATTTAATATTTTCCATCTGGGTTAGGTGGATATTATGGCCTCAGTTTACCAAAGGACATTTCTAGTCCTTAGAGGAATATGTTAAAAAATTTGAATCCTGCTTTTGAGTCACTGATATACAAATTCAGGCTAATACAAGTATAATCTAATTTGGGTATGTGAGGGGTGTTGAGAGTGATTTGTTCACCATTACTAGACTGTTCATAATAGGCTTTTGTGATTAAGTTTTGTTACATTGGTATTTCCATAAGCATTTCTTTGAAGTTTTTAAGAATTTGTTATTACTCTAAATAAATGTTTTTTTTTTCCCATGGTTCTTTGAGTTTTTAATAGAGAATGTTTTCAGTCATGTGGCTTACTCTGACTTCTGACTTGGAAACTAGGGTCTTCTGAGTTTTTGTCCAAGTGGAGGGCAGAGGGAGAAATTACTTCCTCACAATGCAGAGGTGATGAAGGCTACCTTGCTCCCTATTGCAGCATGAGGGAGTTTCTTTTATTTCTTTCACTGAAGGAATAATAGCACTTAAATTATCACCAGATTTTTCTGTACGTTTTTTGATATTTTGGGTAGTGTACCTTTTGTGCTATAGATTCAGAGACCAGCACAGACTGTTAAGGATCTCAATTACTACATTGGGCTTAAATTTTTTTAGGAAAGTTGATATATTAAAGTTGTCTTAAAATTTAAAGTTGCTGGGTTACAAAAAAATTAAAGTTATCATATAGTTTTTGTGTATGTGTGTGGAGGAAATAAAAACGAGTTTAAATGCTGTTTCTTGTATTGTACATTGATATTTATTCAGGACTAGCAGGAGTTTTATAGTCAAAGGTCTTGAAATTCTGTTTAAATAACCATTATTCTTGATCTGTGATAATTGTTTTTGTTGTTTCTGACCTTATAGGTAGAACCATGAAGTCCAACTTCCAGATGGTGCTTTCTTCCTTAAAACCTACATTACGTAGACTTCTCTGAGGGCATGAAATGCACTGAGTGTTTCAGTATGATACATTCCTTGTATTTCTGTACTATTTGTTGATCAATTTAATGACAAAGACCCCTTGGATTTTCTTTGAGAAAAATGCGGTGCCCAAAACACACTTCTTGTTTTTGTTTATAAAATTTTTTGTGTTGTTATTTCCTAGGCTGCTGGAGGAAGTATCTCACATCAAGTTAGCTTCTCCTACTTCAATGCATTTAACTCCTTACTGAATAACATGGAACTTGTTCGTAAGATATATAGCACTTTAGCTGGCACAAGGAAAGATATTGAGGTCACAAAGGGTAAGATTTAAAAATATTGACTTGAATCTCAGCATTTTTTTTACTTTTCATCATCTAGGCAAGAGAGTGATCTAAGTTCACCATACTAAAGCCAGATCTAGACAAGTGTGTTACCATGTATGCACATGCTTCACTTTTGCTCCAGAAATCCAGGTGGATTTAATGGAATCCTGAAAAGTTGCTTTGACGGTTTTGAAAAGAACTTTAGCCCAATCTGTCAAATAGGTCATTGGCACTGTGGCAGCCGCTTTTTTGTTATAGGAAGAAGTTGCCATAGAAAGATGAGTAAGCCTACTCCTCTTGGTGTATTGTAATAGGATGTTTTGGGTGACTGGAGAACAGCCTCTTCTTTTATCTTGTAACTCTGGAGACCAAACTGGATAAACAAGATGAAAGAGAGGATTCTAAAGAGATTATTTTATTATTAAAGTTAATTTATCTGTTTTTGCTGTTTCATTCTCTTAACATTTCATCTTTTACTGGCCTTCAGAAACACATAGTTATTCTTATGTAGTTGAATTCAAGTACTTCAGTTTTAGACTTTTTAAATAATACTAAAATTCCTTTAGTGTTCAGATTATTATAGTTGGTTAAGATAGAAATTTGTTATATATGGAGAGTATTTCAAGATTTTAATAGTTTTTTCCTTTCTGTTTCAGAGGAATTTGCCCAGAGTGCCATACGCTATGGACAAGTCACTCCACTAGAAATTGATATTCTATACCAGCTTGCAGACTTATATAATGCTTCAGGGTTAGTAACTATTCCAGTAATTCTTCATGGTATTTACTATAGGGCAGATCTTTTAAAATGTGAAATAGTAGTTTGTTTTCAGTTCATTTTTTTAATATGTATTTTTTAGTTGTAGATGGACATAATACCCTTATTTTATTTTTATATGGTGATGAAGATCAAATCCAGTGCCTCTCATATGCCAGGCGAATGCTATACCACTGAGTCCCAGCCCTGTTTTCAGTTCATTTTAACAATATTTTATTTAGTATATAAATTCTAAGGAAAAGAAACACACAGATATGAGAAATAGAGGAGGAAAAAGAAGAGAAAAGGTCAAGGGAAGTGGAGGAAGGTAAAAGAAGAACAGTGAGGAGAAGAAACGATAAAAAGGGATGGAAAGGGGAGGAAGAGATGGAACAGGAGAGATGAGAGAAGGGAGTAAAGGATTGAGGGGAATGAGAGAGGAAAATTGGGAAAGGAAAAAATGAGAGAAAAGGGGAAAGAATGGAAAGGAGAAGGAAGAAAAAGATTGATTTAAACTTGGCTCTCTGAAAGTATTATGAATTTCAAGAGATTTGTGGAAATTTTCCTAAGTATGTATATTTATGAAAATAAGCTGAAGTATATGGAGGAGTTTGTAACCTCAAATGGTGTAAATGGTCATTTTACTGAACAGTATATACCATTTTGAATAAATTTTGTGTTGAAGAGTATCATTTTCTTGAAATATATCTGTGACATTATTATCATAGCACCAAAATCAGATGTTTTATAAATTTTAAAAACCCAAAGCACATTGAGGGTATTTACTTTGCAAAGTCCTATGAAAATAGGAAAGAAAAACTCTTTAAATTTTTTTTTTTTTAGTTGTAGATGGACACAATCCTTTATGTTCTTTCTTTCTTTATCTTTGTGTGGTGCTGAGGACTGAACCCAGTGCCTCACATGGGCCAGGCGAGTGCTCTGCTACTGAGCCATAACCCCAGCCCTGAAAAACTCTATGGTATCCAGCAAACCTGTGGAAAGGGAACTTACAGAAATTGTTTTCTCTCGTATGCGGAATATAGAGTAAAACAAAGGAAAGGGGGAGAGAAGAGTAGGATAGCATAAAGAACCAATGAAATACAAATTAATAGACTAGCAAAAGTAATTCTAGTAGAATAGAGAAAGGAGATTGTGAAAGGGGAGGGAAAAGGATGGGGATCATGAACTGAAATCAGTTTCCAAGCATGTATGAGTTTGTTGGGATGAACCCAACTATTCTGTATAATTATAAAACTCTAATAAAAACAATTTTTTAAAAAATTGAATTTTTTTAGTCTCTTCTAATAGTTAAGTATAGCGGTATCTGAAAAATGGACTCTAACCCTACAGCTCAAGACTAATGGAAGGTCAATATATAATAAGTGATTTATTTATTATGTTATGCTTCATAATGAATTGTTGTACTGGAGAGGATGGTGTTAAATATAGGTATTAGCTGTCTTTGGTGATTGACAAGAAATATCAGGCCATGTCTCATTCATCTGTAATTCACATTTTTAGAGGTTCTGATTGTCCATCATGATATTAAATGCTTTCCCAAAGTATTTCTCAAAACTAGATCTAAAGTGTCTTTTTAGCTAGTTCATGAAATATACATATTTTAAAGTAGATTTTGGGAATAATAGTGCATTTATGGTTCAAAATTCAAAGGATCTAAAAGAATGTACTATTAAAAAAACAACAACAAAAAAGTCTCTCTCTTACCCTTGTGCCCTTCTTTAAAGGCAACCAATATTTATCAGTTTTGCATCTAAATTTTCTTCCAGGATACTTTGCACCTATTCATTAATAGATATACTGAGAGGGATGTATTGCATATGCACGTGCTGTCAGTGTTTATACTTTGCTTCTGGCAAGAATTATTTCTTCACTGTTAATATCTATCATTAATACAATCCAACATTATTTCTCTGAAGTCTATAGCTTATTCTTATAAACAAAGTCTGAAGAATTTTTTTTTTCCTCACAAGAATTATCTGATCTGTGTGAATAGGGAAATAATTTTGTTTTGTTTTTAAGGAAAGATTCACTTGTTGTGAGCAGTGTGTCACTGTCTAATAATCCTTTCTTTCCCTTTTCTCTTAAGGCGCTTGACCTTAGCAGATATTGAGAGAATAGCCCCATTGGCTGAGGGGGCCTTGCCTTTCAACCTGGCAGAACTTCAGAGACAGGTAGAAATAGTCTGTACTGACATAATATGTACATGACAAACCTAAAGCTTCAGATTGCTGTGAAAATTTAAAGCTTTCTATAGGAGGATTTTACTTAAAGATTACCTTTATTTAATTATTACTCTCATCCTTACAGAATATTTTTATGGCATTATTATGTTTATGTTTTTGTTTTGTTCTTTTAACTTTTTGAGGTAAAGAAAATAAGAATTCAAACATAGATAGGATCGGGCTGCTTTCCATTAGAATTAGCATTCTTTTCACTTCATTTGTCTAGTCATCTTTAAAGATTAGTGTTAGGTTCATTTTGTATTTCTCAAATTAATCACTTACTGGAATCATGCCTTATAGATTACAATAAGAAAAAAGGAAATGTACCTAATTAATGAACCAGAAAGAAAACCTTGACTATTATTACATTTTTAGTAATACAAGTTTTTAATGTTAAGGATAATTCAAAAATAGCTTCTGCATCCTATAAAGTTAATATAGTTCTACTTCTGATTTTACAAATAACTATCTTGGTGGGGGGAAAAAAAAGCACATGAAATGACCTTGAAGAGTAGAATAGAACAGTTTTTAATAAATCTTGTTTTAAACGGAAACCTCTACTTCTGTAGCCCTTAGAGGAAGATTCAGTTGTAGCCAAAGATCCTGTGGGTTGGTGTGGGGGTGAGGGTCAGGAGGGCCATCCTTGTCTTCCTGAGATTTCCTTGCTGTGGCCCAGATGGGACCTGTGGCCCTTGTACTTCTTTAGGAGACTGCTGTGCCACCCTAGGCTAGGAGTTGGGGAGGGTTTCTGAGGAATGGAATGACAGGAGTTGGGGGAAGCAGGTAGGTAAGAAGAAAAGACCTATGCCTACTTTTCTTTATTTTGCCACATTGATGAGTAGCCAGGGATGGGCTTACCTGATTCACCTTCACCAAATAGGTAAGTAAGGGATCAAGGCATTTAAGTATGGTTTCTTTGGGGAAGATTTGGTGGAAAATTTTTCCTTTTATTTGAGCTCCATGGAATGATATTCTGCTTCTGAAATTAGGATTTCCATGTCCACTTTATATAATGAATAAGAACTTTTGTGGTCAGTTGAAGCAAACTGAAAATGGAAAAAAAAGCTTTTATATCTACATTTTATGGTAATACTTTAGTTGTGTGCTTGGTATATAATAAAGCTTCCTACAGATTAAAATGAATGTGTAGCTCATTACAGTTTAGCTTCTTTTGAACTAAGAAAGTCCTGATGTCATCAAAATTTATTTCCATCTCGAGTTATCAGATTCTTAAAAATAGATGGATTTATTCAAATTCAGTGATTTTTTAAAATAAAATTTTATAAAATTATAAAAAGTTTGAGACATTGAAATATTTAAAGAGTTCTGTATTCAATTTTATATTTTGTATACATTTGTGAAAATTTGCTCTTGGATTTTGAAAAAACTTTATTTGGAAGGAGCTATTTTATGGTGTAATATGTCTATTATTGCAGTCTTTGGAGGTGTCCCTTATTTTTGTAATTGGGGAATATTTCATTTAGCTTATTAAAAACAATATAAACTGAGTTTAAAAGTTTCAACTCATTTCCTCCTTCATTGACTTTTTCTTTAAAAAAATGTGTATTTTTTAGTTGTAGATGGTTACGATATCTTTAATTTTTTAAAAATAATTTTTAGTTGTAGATGGACACAATATCTATATTTTTATTTATTTTTATGTGGTGCTGAGGATCGAACCCACAGCCTCATTCATGCGAGGCAAAAGCTCCACCACAGCTACAATCCAGCCCAATATCTTTGCTTTTTATGTGGTGCTGAGGATGGAACCCAGTGACTCATGTGTGTGCTAGGTGAACGATCTACCACTGAGCCACAATTCCAGCCCTTCATTGGCTTTTCTGCTGCTCATGCCCTTTACTCACCTCTTTTGCTCCCAGCAGTTTCCTTAGAAGCCAAAACTGAAACTTGTTTTGTATCCTTTATAATTCTTTGTCCTTAGGAAGATGATGAAATCCTGCTCCTAGTATGTATTTTCTTCAAGGCAGATACAAGATGCCTTCAATGGCAGTGCTGATTTGATGCTTTTAATGCTGACATGCGTGGCTTCAAGGAGTTTTTTTAGATGCTTAGGTAATAAGCACCACTGCTTTCTTCTTTTCTGGTTCTCTAGAGAGGTAGTGCTTCTTTGCCTTTTCCCTAAACCTGGGATGATATAGGGTTCTGGAATCTCTGTAGAGCAGATAGAGTTCTTGGGTATTCTTGCATTGTTCCTCATGGGAAGAATCTCAGAGCCTGCATTTTTTGTTTTTCCTCTTGTATCTCACATAAATTAGGTAGTCTTACTATTGAAGGTTTATGTATAAAGAAATAAAAATTAAGATTTTAGGGCTGGGCTGAGATTTTAGCTCAGCGGTAGAGCTCTTGCCTGGCACAGATGGGACCCAGGTTCCATCCTCGGCACCACATAAAAATAAAGGCATTGTGTTGTGTCCATCTACATCTAAAAAAAAAAAAAAAAAAAAAAAAGATTTTAGAGCTGGGGTTGTGGCTCAGCAGTAGAGTGCTTGCCTCGCACGTGTGAGACCCTGGGTTCACGATCATCAGCACCACATACAAAAATAAACAAGTGTAATAAAGGTGTTGTGTCCAACTACAACTAAAAAATAAACATTAAAAAATTAAGATTTTAAATGTTTTTTCCATTTAAATTATTATAAAATTACCCAGGAAATTAAAATGCAATAAAAGACATAAATAAATATCACAATTTTATAGAAATAGATTTATGATGATTTTAAGAAGGATTGAGGATATTTGAACCAGCAGAGGCTCTGGTTCAAATCCCAGCACCAATTAAAAAAAAAAAAAAAAAGAATTCAAATGAATGTCCATTTATGTCTGTTGTGAAATCTGACCTTTACTATCTTTAGGATCTGGTACAAAGTTTTTCAAATATTTCCAAGAATCCTTTAAGCTCCTGTATTCTGTGAAATGTTATGAGTCAATGGATTTTATTTTCAGAATTCAAAATTCACCCTTCTTTGTAGCATTTAACACTTTGTAAGGAATACATGATAGGACTCAAGTAGAATAATGTAAAAACATGGCTAAGTTCTTAAACAACCCAGGTAATAGTCTCTTGTGTTTTCAGGGTTTTTTTGGGGGAGGGGATGTTACCACGGATTAAACTCGGGAGCACTCCACCACTGAGCTACATCTCCAACCCTATTTTGTATTTTATTTACAGACAGGGTCTCACTGAGTTGCTTAGAGCCTCGCCTTTGCTGAGGCTGGCTTTGAACTCGTGATCCTCCTGCCTCAGCCTCCCAAGCTGCTGGGATTATAAGCATGGCCACCATGACCAGAGAATTTTCAGTCTTGAAGAAAACTTTCTTCTGTTTTAGTATTTCAGATTTATAAGAAATTCTAAGACATTCATGTTAACTAGTGTGTAACAATTTTGAGATCATGCTTTAGTGATTAAATGTTAACTGACAAAAAAAAAATGTTAACTGACATGATCTTGTCCTAATTCTCATTTATTTTCCACCTTTATAGGATGAGGTACATTTAATAAAAACAAGAAAAGAGTTTTTTTTTAAATAAATGAGGTCTCAAAATGAGGTCTTATTCCCTATCATACATGTATGCTTAGGGAGCCAGTTAAAAATCATATAAGATTCTCAACTCTTGTTTTGCTTTGAAAAACACTTAATTAACCTTGTTAAATACCAGCCTTCATGATCATAATCGTAACCTTCAGGTAAAGAGTGCCTTTTCCTTTGGCCCATTTGATCACAGTAGGTGATCATCTTATTGCTGAATATTTTCTTTCAGCCTAAATGCTAAAAATTCAGTACATAGTCATTAATAGGGATGACAGCTGTAGTAGCATTCTGCTTATGAATATTCATGATGCGAAATCTATAGCATTAATTATATTAATTTACATAACTGAATGCAAGTGAACCATAAGTTATACTAATAAACTAAGCCTTAAGAAAAAATTCTTGGTTACCATATACTGTATATTTTCTTATAAATGTTATTTAATAGGGATGAAGGTGACATTTTGGTCAAAAGGCATTTGGGTATTTATGGTTTGAAATATTTTAGTTAAGAATTAAAGCACAGTATAATTCCTCAGTTTTGATAGGATTTTTTAGGGTTTATAGAAACATTCTTTGAAAGGAGAGGGAAAAGAAAAATATATGTGGTTGAATACAAGAGAAACCTTTTATATGAATAATGGAATTAGTGGTTGTTTAGGATCATAGCCTTTTTATTTATGAATTTTAACTTTGTATTTTTTTGAGAGAACACATGATTGAAAATAAAATCTATGAGAGTGAGATTTCTCTTCATCTAAATTTGTGTTGAAGAAACTCCAGTTTTGGAGTTTTGGAAGAAAAAGTTTTATATGAATGTTTTTGGGGGTTATTTTTGTACTGGGAATAAAACCCAGGGCCCTTTACATACTTGCCAAGCTCTCTACCATTGACATATGCATACTTTTAAGTTACAAATATGCTGTGTGTTTAATATATAACATAACAGCTATATTGATTTTAAAAGGTTGTTAAATTTAAGGCAAAATGCCTGCCTTGGTATGTTTGGGCTGCCATAACTAACTAATATGGACTGAGTAGTTTAGACAACAAAGTTAATTTTTCAAAGTGGCTAGGAAGTCAAAGTCGCCATTTAATTCTGTTCAATTCCTGTTGAGGACTGTTTTCTTGGTTTGCAGATGGCAGTGTTCTCATTATATCTTCTTTATGGCGGGGGCCCTGGGGTGGGGAGGGCAGAGAGAGAGAGAGAGGAGAGAGAGAGAGAAAGAGAAAGAGTGAGAGTGTGTGTGTGCGAGTGCGCCTGCATGTGCACTAGTTGTTTCTTTTTATAAGGGCGCAAATCTTATCATGAGGTCTTCACTCTCATGATCTAATTTTCTCCCAAAGTTTTCATCTCTCTCTTACTCCGGGGTTTAGGGTTTCAATACATGAATTTTGGAGGGACACTTAAGGATACTCTAAGTTGAATTTATATGTGATGTTAAATATCATTACTTTGAAGGAATGGATTTTGTTTGTTTTTAATTCTTGTCTTTGAAACAAAGTATCAGAATTAGTTGGTTAGACTCACTGTATACAAAATGTTCCATCAACATTTGAGAAAGCTGGGCATTGTGTGGAACACCTATAATCCCAGCTACTCTGGAGGTGGAAGCAAGAGGAGAGCCAGGTGGATGCCAGCCTCGGTAACTTAGACTTTGTCTCAAAATTTAAATTAAAATAAAAAGGATGTAGTTAAGTGATAATACCCTGTATTCAATCCCCAACACCCCCCCCACTTTAAAAAACTAAATGAAGTATGCTAAAGCATTACCAAAAACGTTTTGGCATTAATAAATGAAAAATAAAATTATTTTAAAATATTTCAGTTTCTCATTTTAATCATTTCTATTTTTGTATATGTTTAAAATGTGTATTTTATATAATTTATAATGTATATTACTTAGATTTATGTGTATATAAATAATATAGTAGAGAGTATCTGAACTTTTTATTATGGTTTTTCATCAAATTATATATTTGTTGATGGTGCTAGGATTCAAACCCAGAATTGAACATGCTAGGTAAGCACTCTATCACTTCTATCACTGAACTATATCCATAGCTCCTTATATTTTTATAAAAAGCTCATTTCAAGCTAACATTTTTCGAGTTTTCTTTATGAGAAAGTGAATATTCCTTGTTTCCTATGTAGAATAGCAGATTATTTTCATAAAATATTAAAGAATAAGACTGAGGGCTGGGGTTGTGGCTTAGTGGTAGAGGGCTTGCCTAGCATGTGTGAGGCACTGGGTTTGATTCTCAGCACCACATGTAAATAAATTAATAAAGTTTCATTGACAAATTTTTTTTTCTTATTTTTTTTTCTTTTCATTGACAAATTTAAAAAATATTTTTTAAAAAAGAATAAGACTGACACACTGATATAGACAAATTATTTCAGGTCTTTTATGTTATAGGATACCTGTGAAATAGTATTCTGAATTACATAGGATTTTTTCCTTTATTTTCATAGATTTTGTTAGAATTGAATATGATTAGGACAGTAGTCTTTACAGATATTAGATTATGATCAATATTCTGCTTTAGGAATCAAGGTAATTTTTTATGCATTTGAGAAAGTTTTAAAATTTTAAGTTAGAGGGGGAAAAATTTGAAACTTGAAATGTGGCCTGGCACATTGGCATAAGCCTAAAATCCCAGAGGTTGAGGTAGGAGGATTGTAAGTTCAGAGCCAGCCTCAGCAACTTAGCAAGGCCCTGAGCAACTCAGCAAGGTCGTGTCTTTAAATAAAATACAATAAGAGCTGGGGATGTGACTTCAATTCTTGGTACCAAAAAGAAAAAAAAAAAAAAACCCTGAAATGTTTATTTACCTAGGAGATTCACTTCTAGAGATTAATGGTGTATTCCCCAATAGTAGCCAATAAATGAGGCATTAATAGGCTTGTAAACAGATAGGAGGAAAAAAGCTGTGTATTTTGCCAGATATATATATTTTTTTAATAAGATCATAAATCTATTCTTACTCAGTTTCACTGACTGCTTAACTGGAGTCTATAAGGCTGCTACCGGAGACTCTAGATATGTTTTTTAAATGTTAATAATAGAAGTATTTTTAGTTTTTAATTTTTTATAGTTTTTTATTACATAGTATCTTTATTTTGATATAGAAATTTTAATAACCAAATGATATAAATAATTGTATGCACCAGTAATTATATCTGGGCTCTTTCTTTTTTCTTTTTCTTAATTGGTTCTTTTTAGTTACATATGGCAGTAGAGTTTATTTTGATATAATTATACAAGCGCGGAATATATCATATTCTAATTAGGATTCCATTCTTGTGGATGTACATGATGGTGGAATTCACTATGATGTTTTCATGTATGTGTATAGGAAATTATTTCAGATTCATTTCACTTTCTTTCCTTTTGAAGTATTTTTTAAAAACTTTTTTTTACCATTTTTGACTACATGAATATCTTATTTTTTTTTCAAAGATGTTACCTCATTAACCATATTGCTTTTACTTTTGTTTTTTTATCTTGAAATAGACAAATTCTTGCTTTTTTTCATTTGCTGTACATTTTTCCAAAATTTTTTACATGTTTTCTTCTTCCCTACAGCAATCTCCTGGGTTAGGCAGGCCTGTCTGGCTCCAGA